ACTGACACAATTTATTGAACACTGCTACACCAGGGCTGACTAATCCTCGTGTACAGAAGTTGCACACAGTGACACACACAGACACACACGCGCGCGTGCGCACAAATAGAAAGCAAAAGAGCTTCGACGACTTCACTCAACTTAATTTCTTTATTTTTTCTTTTGTTTCATCGCAATACGAACGTGCGCCACACTTCCTGTACACAAACGGAAGCAGTCCCTTGCCAAGTGCAGCAGAAGTCCTGTTACAGCACGGTTTCCATTCAGCTTTTGGATCATGCCTCACTTGGATGCTGTGCAGACACAAAGAGTCTAATGACAGGGTGCCAAAGAAACTATCTTGCATCGCAGCCTCTCACAGATCTCCGGGCAGGCGCATGCGCAGTGACGTCAAGGTCAGTTGCCCAAAGTGAGAGTTAGTGGTGCGGGTGGGACAACTATATATTTTAGTTCTACACGGTCCACCCTCTCATCATAAAAGAGCAATACTGATAGTAGATCTGGAACTAACACGTGAGATATGACTAGATGGAGGATACATCAATAAACAGAGTTTGTTGTTATGTTTACTAACAATTTACTTTTAATTTTTGTACAGTAATTTTCGGTAGAATGAAAATATCTCATGTCTTTCACCGAACACGCTGCTACAGGTTTCCACTGCGCCATCACTGTAGGAAAACTCAGATTTTCATTTCACGACTCCTGATATAGAGTACGCTATGGTTGCGCGAGACATACTACTACCACCATCATACGACCATGACGTCACTGCTCCAATGAGTGAGATCGCCTTTTAGGGCCCAGAAAAACAGTTGAAGAGGGTCCTGACTGCTTCAGCAGCCTGCTTCTCATCCTTCGGATACCCGTCCATATTGGAATCTAAGCGAAGAACGAACCGGCGGCGACGACGCAAGGGAGTTGTCTTGCCCTCTTTCTTGACTCAAACACAGACAAACTGCATTCAGAGCTATGCATTAGCTCGAAATGAACACTGAGAAACCACAGATATTAACAATTAATTGTATAGAACGCTTTCTCAAACATGGTACTTGGTACAATTCATACAGACGTCTCCATTTTACAATGTTTTGATATAATAAGATACGTACATCTAAAAAATAAAATCTAACAACACAGCTAAAATATTTTCTCCAGCGTAACTACCGTTCAGTTGACTTCGCATTTTTCTGTTGGGTCGGTTCCCTTATGCTTCACCGCTTTTTATGTACAAAACTACAGGCAGTAGCATATAAGCTGCAACCAGAATAAAGACTCTAAAGACAATGTGAAAACAACCCGATTTTTTTTGAACAGGGTTTGATAAATAATTATTATTTCATAACAAAATGCCTTCTTATTAACACAGCGCATTAAATCCATATAATTCTAACGGGTATGTTATATATTTAGTATGCTCAATTCAGAATAAGTTTATAAAAATAGAAAGTACAGGAACTTAACAGTTTTCTCTAGCAATACATAGTGATGGCAAATATTTTGTTTTAGAAGTGCGACGTACACGTTTGTAAAGGTCATGGCAAAGCTTTGAAGTTAAAAACAAATCACACTATCAATGACCCCTGTTTTCAAGCATTTCCCCCAATACGGCGAGGAGTAACCATGGTAACCTTAGAAAATGATCACATTAACATTACGTAGAAACGAGTTCGCTACAATAAAGTACACGCCAGCACATCCTCGAGTGCTCAAACCTCAAGTGGCACAAAGCTCTATCAGCATATTATTTTTCACGTTCATTTCCTTTCTTTGCGAACGCCATCCCAAGTTATACAATATGAAAAATATTAAGTTGTAAGTATAATATTAACATATACACTTATTAACACACATATGTAACAGAGTAGTCAGAGCAATAATTTGCGTAACAGGTTAGACGCAGTGTTCTCCCATTACGAAACCCGCAACTGTGCAAACGCATACACACGCACTCACACAAAGTTCATTGTCATCCGGTTCATACAACTCCCACGTTTCATTCAGCAGTTTCTTACTCGTCACAATAAGAATCATTCGTATATTCTTCTGAATATTTACACAAATATATAAATGTATTGAAACGTTAAAATAAAGTCTCGTCTTGGGGCGACCCCTCCACGCACTCACACGCAGTCTCTTCGGGTCGGGACGGCCCGGCCGCCGCAGCTGATGAGGAGCGTGGCGCGGGGGGGGGGATGAGAGAGGAGGGCGACGGGAGCACGCACGCGCCGCCCTGCGGGACTTCTTCTAACGTCCCGGCGAACAGTTGAAGGCAACGTGTGAGCACGCGTGAAGAACACACATTTTGACGCTTAAGAAGCAACACCTCGTATCTCCATTTTCATCGAAAATGAACTTCCATTTTAAAATTGATCGTGACTGTCGAGGAAGTAAAATTAAAAAAAAAATAATTTTGTTAAGATAGTCTTGATGGCAATAACAATGCAAATAAAAATAACAAATATATAACTATCTCAGAACAAATGTGTAAGAAATGAAAGTTACTAACGTTTAGAGCGCGTTGAGCGGTCAAAAATGATCACTTTTTTTCTAAAGAAAATGTAGTTAAAACGTCATACAACAGAGATACACGTGTGGCATGGCTTGTCAGACAACTTTTTTCAGTGGTGTCGGGCAGGTCACGTTATGACCCAGTCGAAGAGATTTTATAAACTTATCGAACCTGAGTAGACACAAAGTTGCTTAACAAACAGGGGCAATTATCACAAGCGTAAGCCCGTTATATGAAGCATCCCACCGCATGTTCGCTGGCGAGAAGTGACCACTTTCGACTCTTGTTCATGGCCTCGATTGTAACATTTTTTTCTGAGACACTTGTTTATTTAGATTTCAGTGAATAAATTAAAAACACATAAAATTACGCGTAAAGTTACGCTAAATTATGCGTAAATTTTCGCGAAAAACTACGTGTAAATTTAGGTGAAAAAATGACACGTAAAATTACGCGTAAATTTACTTGCAAAATTACTGTTTTAGAGTTACGCGATGTTCTCCTCAGCGTCGGCTTGCAACCACTGATTGGACACGGAGCTGGCCCGTTGCGATTGTCGATGAGCGCGTCCCAGCGCGTGGCGGCACGCGCGCTCCCAGCCTCAGATCTCGGCGCGCTCCAGGCTGGAGGGGCGGAAGCGCGCGCCGGCGTGAGCGAGGGCGGGGGCGGGGGCGCGGGTGTGGGCGTGGGC